TATTTTCAGTCTCCGCTTTCGTACTTTCGTTTCCGCGGCGTCACCGTGCCATAGCGTGTCAGCGATTTCACTATAATTATATATATATATATATATAGTTTTTGTTCAATAAAGCCATTTTCAGAGGTCATCAGTATTTCTCCGAACATTATCATTATTACTCCTATTTTAACTACTATTATTCCCTTATCATAACATAAATGTTCGTGTTATGTTTTATTATGGATCATGCAACCCGTCTACGTAGTATACGTATAACGTTATATCTATCCCTAATCGTGGCTAACATTGTCGTTTGTATGGATATTTGTATCCAATCTCAGAGCGTGCTTTGCAATATCCGGTCCAATTGATTATCGACAAATCCTGTTTTTTTGGAGTCACCAGGCGTGAGTCTTTCGCACAACATCGCATAACTTTGTGATCTTCATACACGTTCTCTAACGTCAATGATAGCTAGGACAGGCGCAAGGGCCTAGATTACATAACTACCGATTTGACCATTTTCGTCATATTCTCCTTTACTCTATATTCAGTCGACTTCGTTTTTCTTTTCATCATCTTGTAGGGCTACGTTAGATTAGATTTAACTTGCACTCAAAACGTACGTCGCATCGTTAGTCCGAAATATATCTATCATATATTTTACATTATAAGTTTCTCTACGTAATAGACAGGGCATTGCAAAATGTGTGTATAGCTATGGAGCGACTCTCTGTTCACTGTGATACCTGGGCTGATTGTGGGCTTTGTTTATACGCATTGCTGTGTCTGATGCTGTTTCTATGATTCATACCTATTGAACTGCCTGCTCTGTACTTCGCGCAGATATCTGTTCTACAGTTATTGCTAGGAGCTCTAACTTCGAGTTGAATCATGATTTATGCGCCCCTTTTCATCTATCGATTGCGCCTAATTGTAGTTAGTTACTTTTTTCAATCAACATAATTGAAAGTTTGGCCTCTGTGTGAATTTTTTTGATGATCACTCGTTTAAGTCAGACGAATATAGATTATTATCATATCGTACAAAATTGATCTATAAAGTATACGCTCCGAGACGTATACGGATCTCATCCGACAACTGTGAGATACGTTGCAATTCTACGATAGTATCTCGATCGAGTTGTTTCCCGTATCTTGCCTCGTCATTATCTATGGAACGATAGAATCGGCTGCGTTTTGTTTACAGTAAGTAGTTCCCTTGTCCTGGATATGCTGTCGTTCGACGGACGATACCGGTACGGAATTTTGATCATATACACACTAAACAATATAGCCCAGCCCCCGTACGTTGACTCCTCTGCTTGTACTAGTTTTTGCATTTCGCCTGACGATGCTTGTAAACAGACATCGTCGGTAGCTGTAACGCGTTCTGAGCTTGAGGAAGTAGGTTTGCAAGCGGCGCCTCTGAGTGAAAAGTATTCTATTTAGCCATAAGTATAACTAAAATTAACGAAGAGATCATTTCATAGACTTATTACTTGGATCGATATATAACAGATGAGACATTATTACTGCTGACTCGTCTTGTAGTGGGATACCGGTGTTGTGTACGTTTCCGTGCAGGTCCACCTGTTTGCTGGGACAGCATTCTGCCCGGCTAGTTTTCTCTTTTTCAATTAGTTCAAAAACACTTTTTGGTGGCCATATATATATATATATATATATGGTATGTGGTGCTAATGATTTGTACATAAAGTGTACACATCGTACTAGCACTATATGGCCTTTCGGACTCAGAAACAGGTGATCGCTGCCATTATTCAGTCGGGTTTACTTGTATCTGAACACTATGCATAGCTCTCAGACCATACTGATTATTTTCTAAGCAGTGTAATGGGGGTCGATGCGCGGCTACAGGTGAAGTAATATGTACTTTAAAAGACGTGAATAAATACGGACAACCTATACATTTATATTTTGAGGTTAGGTGCGTTGCGCTGAACGGGTAATAATTGTAATGCCATATTGGCCTAGGTAGACATTGGTAGGTAGTGACAATGCGGCCATATTCTCGAAAATACAGAATTCGACACATCGGGATGTGTTCATACAGATATTAATCTACACATGTTTTTATTTTCGCTCGTACAAGTCTCAATGAAGCTTATAAAATACATAAAACAAATATTCTACTCTATACGATATCAGACTATTAAATGCACGGATAATTATATGCGAAAAGACTGTCACGGTCGTCCTAAAATACGTGGGATGTCCTACACTTTCGGTTTAGCATGAATACAAACATTTGCCGTTAACATCATTAGTCTGCTCGAACACATCGCGGTTAATAATAGTTTTTTTTTTATTTTTTTTATCTGAAAAAGCTTTGACCGCATATTGTCCTCGAATGTATGCGTTTAAACACTGCACTATTTTCACGTTCAGACTATAGACATATCGTTAAAACCATCAAAAAATGAAAAAAGAACGACTGACTGACGGACAGAAATGAAGTGAACCGTATAAGTGCGCCTCGATTTCAAGAGCGGGCAACGAGGATGAAATGGGCCAAGAGGGTCTAATTTCTTTTCATAATGGATGGTGTATGTATAGAGATAAAAGCTGCGACAAGATAAAAACCATGACGAAGTAAGTCTACCAACTCATCTAGCTTACTTTTCGTTGTAACAATTATTATAGTACGTGGCGTGTTTCGTTTGGGTGCCTCGTCATAAAAATGAGTACGGTGTGGGCTTGTGAATTTATGACAATAACATTAGAGACAACAGCTGGTTGAACGAATACAGGCTATGCAAAATTTGCTCGATATTGACTCTGTGTTTCTCATATTTAACTGCTGATTCGGCACACTAATTAGAGAATTCAGACGCTTGGTCAATAGCGAATCCTACCATTGGCGCCACATGCGATGTTATCTTCAATCGTGGATAATAATGATAACTATCAGAGTGTTGCACGGTGGAGTTCAGCTAAGAGCAGCCGAAGAATGTATTAAGAAAAACGCTGCAACGCAAAGCTAACCTTAGCGGGGCGGTATCACACCCACAGAGTGACTACCTCGAAGCCACCGTCTTTGCCGTCGAGCCACTTTCGAAGCTCTGCTTGATAGGCCCTACAGAACAGCTGCTTATGACTTTTAGCTAGTTTATGTGCGTCGATTGCCACCTCGTGCTACAGCAGCGCACTTGCCGCCTATCGTAGCGCTATTTAGGGAACGGCTGAAATTGGTTGTCGTCTGCTACGCCAATGAGTTGTTGGCGACAGTAGCACGTTGTTTTCATTCTGCGTAACGATGTTGGTAAATATGTATACGCAGGACCCTGATGAATAAACGAGTTAACGAACGCACTCGCTTCTCGTTTTTCTTTTGTTGACAAGGCGGCGACCGGCCGACCGACCGACCGACCGACCGACCGTTTCGCTACCGCGGATCGTGTAGGCTGGTTTTGACAAAAAGTAAACTAGAGAACCCAGTTGTTAGCTAGTGTTTGTCTATGTTAACGCAAACACGACCAGCAAGTTAATTGACTTGCGAGATGATTGTCAACTGCGTACAGCTAGGACCAACAGCCAAACTGGCAACGATGGTGTGTCTCTGGATGTCCATAGACGATTTATAAGTGAGCCACCTCGACGAGGTAAGAGCGGACACTACGCAGCAGATTGGCAGGGGGTGACCGGTATTTTCGAAAAGCATAAATAGTCAATTGCAAGCCTCCTCTGTTCTTCTTAGTCCCATGTCTGTTGCACGCCGTATTCTATACGGTCGCTTGCGAGTGGATCGGCGAACAAATGCCTGTCGCCATGCTCGAGGCCCGGATTGTTCAGTGAAGAAACGACGAGGGAAGATAATGATTTCCAATTAGACCGATAAAACTAAACAGGTTGAGGGAAGCAGCCTTTTTAGTTTTATCAACGTCAATATTATAGATAAAAAAAGAGGCATTTCTCAAAAAAAAAGCTAGATGGCTCTTAGCACCCGCGTATTGCCCTTCTTCGAAGCAGCTGAAATATATTTACAATCTAATTAACTGTGCTAGTGGTGTTGCTAGCTAGCTAGCTATCTAAAGGAAATCAAGTAAATGTGACGTGTAAAGACCCTTTCGAAGACCCACAACTGATTCTGACATAATTGTAATACAAAGAGCTACAGTAGCTAGCAAGCTTATTGCTTCCTTTGGTCTTGTATGATTAGGATTGTTAATATAGACCTAAATATATTAGTGTCACCTTTTTCTAATTGCGCATCTTAACGCTATATATTTCTGTGCTTAGTATTTTATCAACTGTAGGGCTCTCGCAGTTCAGATCATGTACCTAGATAATTATGTATTTCCAATGATTTTTTTTTGGATATTTAGGTGTATCGGTGTATACGTATTTATGTGGGATATATGTATTACTCGTTAATATCGCAGGTATGTATAAAATTAGCACTGCAGACGTACAGAATGTACAGACATCGATGAAAGGAGCAAACAGTGTACCAAAACCTCGTGTGGTTTAGAGATATCACTCTTTGCAGCTTCTTCTTCTGCAATATTTATTTAAAAAGTTATAACTTCTATTTCCATTGGAGAAAAATGACGATACAGACAACAGCCATGTGTAATGTAAAGAGCGATGGTATTTGAACAATTTTGAACATGTGGTACTCAGCGTCGTCTCAGCTAGACAGCTTCGGACTGATGTCCAGTAATTAATAACATTCATTGACATTCGTGTTTGTATAACAGTAACTGGTGTGAGCAGTATAATTACAATGATTACCACTATTGTTGTTAGCTCGTTATTACTAGTTAATATCCCATAGCATAGCATTAGGCGCAAAACACACTGAGGTACGCTATACGAGCACTGTCGGAAGCGCGCTCCGTTGGCGGATCGGGCCTCTGGTTGAGCGGTCGCTTGACCTGCTGCCTTCACTTTTATGATCCGTGACGACTTTGTTCATGGAAGCATTGGTCGGAAACAATATTTATTACGGCTTGTTGGATGAAGGTGAATAACTAAAGGAAATTGATAAACAAAATGCGGACTTAGAGGACCGTGTGGACGCATTTTTCATGGATGCTGATGGTCGTGAATATTGCAACCGTTGCCCTCCGCGGGAGCCTGCAAGGTGGAAAAAGGACATTAGAGCTATTCTTATCAAAGCGACACTCTTACTTAAAAAAGCTGCTGGTCTTATCCGCGTAAAATGGATACCCACCACATCCTTTTGTTCTCATTGAACTGCCTCTTCTGTTCCAATGTCAGGAGAAAATAAATTAGGAAGAAACAGTCCCAAATTAAATCTTTAAACTATTCCTATAGCATACTTCGATATCGATTTGTCAGATTCTAAAATGTTCGTTATCTTTTAAATCGTAGGACTGGTAGGTCAAAGCTTGTACCGCATATATTTATATTTGACCAGTGTCGTACGGTAGTGCATTGAATAACTACAATTCTCATCAGTTAACTTTTACAGTTCCCAATTCAGTTTAGTCTGTCAGCCTGATGTTCCATCGTACGTACCTCAAGTGTGTATGTACGTAGATAGTAGTCATCACGCAATCGGCTATTAAGTGTCGACCAGTGGCATCGTAAAAGCTCCTTAAATGCGCGTCGAAAGTCCTGATGGAAAGTCACATAGATGATAGGATTTAACATTGAGTTCGAGTAACCCAGCCAGAGGGCAAAACTTTTAATCTCTTGGGGCGCGTTGCATTTTGCCAGCGGCTCGATGACCGCCAAAATAAAAAATGGTAACCAACAAACGGTGAATGCGCTCATGATGATACCAAGCGTGATGGACGCTTTTCGTTCGCGAAGCATTGTCGAACGCCGCATATTATTCTGCCAACTCTGTACGCCCGAAGACACTGCCGACCCTGAAGAGGAACCTTTAATTCCACCACCACCGCCGCCGCCGCCAAGAGGATTATCGCCGTTGTGGGCCAATTGTCCATCTTCACCGCTTTCATGCCAGCCATCGTTTTTGCTATTATTTAACAATACCTGCAGAGAAAGTACAATCGTCCCTTAATGTAGAACACACTCCGTAAACGTTCTAAAGTAACATCATTCGTCAAACAAACTCGGGCTAGGTTCACTTAGAGTTCCTTGCTCTAGCTGGAGTGTGAATAGCGGCAAAATTGCGTCTCATGTCCCTATTGCTAATTAATACTATTATAGAACAGTTGAAAATTGATTACGTATTGTCCTGGTAATAAGGTTATGTCTTCGAGTCACTCTTGTTTAGTTTACTTTGTTACTACACACATAACTGCGATGTAAACAGAAATATATACTCATAAAACCTATAAAGGGGTTCGCATTTGTTTTACGCGTTTACCGTTACGGCGAATAGACATCATGAAAGAGAAGAGTCGATCTGCTTCTCAAGTAGATGCTGCTCTGAGGGACAGCCAACTTTCTTCGCTAGCTCTAAGGAAAAGCAACTAGCTCCGTTTAACTTGCTTACGTACTAGCAATATATTTTAGACAACATCGATACATTTGCTCATATCCCATAAATTAACTTGCTCACACATCCCCTCTACAATGGCTTAAAAATATCACCGTTCTGACGTTCGTAATCGCTAGAGATGTGTCACTGCGTACCTCATTTGGCAAAGTAGCAAAAGAGGAAACTTTAGATGTTGGCTTTACGACAAAAAAAAAACCAATTTTTCTATGGCTGTTAATAGTGCCGTCATTAAGACAACGTGGGCGTGAAACACCGCGAACGGAAAAAAGGTAATCATACCGCAATCTCAAAAACGAAAACGAAACGCCATTCGTAGCATTCATCCAGCCACTCACTATGTTCAGACAACAAGGGCCTATTGGGAACTCACTTGCGGATTGATCTGGGCACGCTGGTCGGCGTCAACGACTCGTTTAGCTGCCGCGTAGATCTTATAATACATAACAATCATAATAAGTAGCGGGATATAGAATGCACCTGGAACATCGGAAAAGGTTAGTGTTAAGCCACCTGCAACAATATTTCAGGCCTCGCAGTCAATATTAACAATAATGATTATTATAATGAAATTGAAATGGTCTAAAAACTCTTCAGGCACTAACTAGCGAGTCCATTCCCAGTTGTTCCGGGACGCATTGTTGATTGAGAATAAATACCGGTATAAGCGGTAAGCGTGTGTGTTATTTTTGAAATACTACGTCTCGCTTGGCGTCTCGAACTTGGTATAGCTTCTTTACGCAGTGACAGATGGCTGTCCAGTTGACGTATTTGGTGATTAGTTTTTATCTTCATAGCATATAAGACAACTTTTTAACAAAGGTAAAATACAATACTTGGCCTTAGTACTCCTTTTGGCTCGCAATGAAATTTCAAAGCTGTAGTAGGATACTTGTAAACCCAAATTTATGAAAAGAACTATGAAAATACGCCTTAATTTAACTTCCAAGTCAATCTATGCGATACCCTGTTGGATGCTGTGTGACTATTCAGGCACGTTCTATATCTCTCGGATAATTTTCCCTGTAGACCCGCAGTACGCTAACCTTCTACGCACTGTACATAAAACAAGTTCTTCACTGCGAGTGAATTTTACCGTAGTGCTTGTTATCTATTTCACATCGATATGTATTAGTGCTAGCTATATTAACAACAGCTAGAACGAACGCATGCTAAGTATTTGTAGACGCTTTGAGCAAGAACGAACTACCCACGTTCAAATCAAAATGTTTAGTTCGGACTAAGCTGACGACCAATTTAGACAGAATCGTACGTTACTCTGAGGTGTGCTTTGTTCAGCATTTGCTTATGAGTTAACCTACGTTCGGCTGAGACTAGCTTTCAAGCGCTTCGTGTCGCTATCTGAGCCCGAGTGCCTCCTACGTCTCCCCTTTTGTATTCCACTCTCTTCTTTCCGACGTACCGTTTCCTGTGCATGTACCTCTATCTGTGCGCGTGCGCGTTAAAGCTTTAGGGGACTTCCTGAGTAAGCAGGAATTTTTCTATCCTTCTGAAAATCTTTCCTCTGTCCGTTTCCTTTCGTCCACAAAAAGTATGGCCCAGCAGGACCAGTCGTTCGCTTATAATACAGCGGATAAATCTCAGGTAGCAGCAAAGTCTTGAAGGAGGAAATTTGATGAATATGTTCAGCGATCCGTTATGAAGTTTTTTTGCCTTTTGTCCGACACAGCTTCCATCTCTGTCAGCTGGGCAGTCATGACAAGTACGTCCCGTAATATCATTATGAAAAAAAGAGCCCTATAAAAGAGCTATTTCAACTGTAATTAGTTCTGTACGGAGACGAACATTTCCCCGTTGACTCTAGGTTAGTGGCTAACTTATTCCTTTACACTGTATTTCCTTGTTAATAGGAACACAATTAGGCCAACGTATATCCAACGTATAGGCCAACGTAGCTATCTTATATATATATGTACTCGTATACGAATGTGGAGGCCACGCAAAGTATAACTGGGTCACAACTTACGGACTGTTAGTTATCATATGATACGTATATATAGATATATTTTTCGGATCATTATCGCATTTACGTCGCGTCACAGCGCTGAAGGCCCATATCCGCGGATGATACGTGTGAAGCACATTAAAAGTGAAACTTTACGATAACATAAATACGTTAGACGTTTAACGTTGAACGCAAAGATCACTGTATAGCTTACCCAACGTAGCATAAAGTTGATAGGCAAGGTTAGGGCACACTTGACAGTTGGGTTCTTCGTCTGTACCATGCTCGTTACCTGAAAAAGAAATTTATATTTGGCATAAAATTACACACTACCGATTTTGTTGAATAGTAACAATTTGAAAATGCATAAAATAATGAAATGAGTGAGCAATCAATTTATCACGTGATTTAAAATCAAAAAAGAAAAATAGATCCTCGGCCGAAGTTTAAGGTCGCTGATAGTCATTGAGGAACTTGAATATAGAACTTGAACAGAGCTTTAGATTCACATTGCTGCACCGATAGCCTGGTCACGTAAAGCAAAGTAAATAGGGTTAGAACGTAGCCACTAAGGTGACACGAGTATTTGGCAGTTTCTTTAATGCCTTAGTAGTTATAGTTTATCATAATAACAATAAATTACAAGTTCCTGTTCGGGCAATATGAACCCAATAACATCGGTCCACAGGTATTAATGTTCGAAAATGTACGCGGAATACGCGGAAAATTGTAAATTTAAAAATATTTATGTGTGTTTCTGCTCATGCATCGTGCTTGCAGCTAACATCCTTGTAAGTATTCACAACAAGTTTACCATTGTAGATGGTCTAGAAGGTTTCTATTCGCACTTGATAGGACGAACAACATCTTACATTTTTAGACAATACTTTATATGTACATATATGTCCCTATATATGCATTACATCTATAAGCTCTAAATGTCGTTCAGTACTTAGTGTTTAGGAATAATGTGTCATATCATTGTGTTGGCCGACGCACCACTTCGTGACCGCTGATGTTACTGTCTACTCTTGTCTGATCACAAGAAGCCAGCTGCTGTTTCATGGCTTGTAATTGTTTGTAAACAGGTTGAAAGAGGATTGGAGCTTTCGATATCGCTTGTAAGCGCTTCGACAAAAGCAAACGAAGCGCTCATTATGGGCAGAATACAATGCCGCATCTGCAGATATGTCGTAACGCTGCCTTGATGCAACGTAGACCAAAGCTAAGATCCCACTTAGGGAAATCATTGTAGCATTTTTGTGAAGCTTATCCACCTCCAGTCCTCAGAAACTCTTTGGTAAATGTCGCTTCCGAGACTCACGTGAGTGTTGCTACCGGATGTCTTTTTTTAGTTCTACCTGTCTGCTTTGGTTAAACCACAGGTACCCGCGCCATAATTTGAAAAGAATTTTCGCCAAAGACCATTGCGATATCGCCACACTGAATCATACGTCGAAGATAACGTGTTTATTGTTAAGAAAAAGTATCACTTAAAACAGATAAACCCTACAAAATATCGCTACTATAGTTCCGTATGGCTAACATAATACATTAAAAATATTTTTCCTATGTTTGGCTTTAGCTTCGAAATACAAGAGCCCTTTCTGGATTACAAGTTACGTATAAATTTTTTAGCGCCGTTTTTCCCGCCGTTGTCATGTTCCAGGTTGCATTTCTCATGAATAGGCTGGAACCTTCATCCGCACTTTCTTTGGCAATTCAATTTTCGATGAAGTGGCTGTGTCATAATGGATTCCATCTTCGAGTTCAATCGCCCTAGGCCTAATTACGTATTGTCATACGATGGCAACTATACCCCCCCCCCCCCATCTCAACGGTTTTCGTCTTCACACTTGTGTCAACCAATACCTTGTCAACCTGATCATCCATAAGCAATTAATAATAGAGAACATATCAGAAATTCTTTTATTATCTCGGATAATCATGAAAAGGAAACGACAAGGGTCATTAACGAGCTCTCTTCGGTCACACTCTCAAAGGTGTGACCAAGCGAAATAAAGCTCACCAAGCGAAATAAACAAAATATACAGTATTCATATAACGCTGAGATTTCGTCATCAGCGAGTCTCCTGCTTGCAAACCACTTCCCGCGGACGTATGTCTGGTCTCCAAAGAAATTGTATATTAAAGGTGTTCACAGATAAGGCAGTGCTAGCTTGAATATAGTAATTAGAACCCTCATAAATACTGCCCTCGATTTCCATTTTCGCATCGGTTCTTTGCGCATGCTCACAAAAATGTCCCATAAATGTAGAGATTAATTTTCGCAATGATTACAAAAATTAATCTCGTTTGCCAGCTACCTGCCACATTAAAACTGAAGTATTAAATTCCCTGTTCAGCAAAACAGAGCCTTGTTGACGTCGAAGCTGGAAGTCGGATCTCCTCCGTGACACTGGCAACGTGTTATTCCATTTGTTTTGTCCTGAATGTCCGTACATCTTCACCGTACATTAGTAAATGGTTGCAATCGCAGGCGTCTAAACACTAGGAACTTAATAAGGCCTATAAAGTGAGTAGTAGATTCCTATTGCCTACAGATGCTAGTAGGTCGTTCGCCTCCTTCATGCGGTGTCGTATTCTTTCGCCTTGTGCCTACGTCCTTCCATTCTAGATAAATTTTGGAAGCCAGTGGAAGCTTACCACCGCTTAAACCAGTTATATTGATTTACTGGATTCAACAACGTAGATAGGTGTTACAGGCTGGTTTATTTACAGTGTAGTACTAGCCTTAACAGCGTTCGTTGTGACTGGCACTGACCGTACGCGTACATTTCTGAAAATATATGGTAAGTATGGTGTACATCTATATATGGTAAGACAGATGATAATTTAGCCACCCTTAACTACAATTATATATAAGGACTATCGTTGCTTGTATCTTATTCTAATAAGCCTGTAGTCTTTGAGGACTTAGCTGAGCCCGCAGACCTTGTTTAAAGGTCAACCCTGCTTATTCAGCCCATACAACGTGGGTGTGTACAACAATCCAATGCATATGATCTTAGTGATAATATTATTTTTGAAGTTTTTAAGCGTTAACTTCATTATTGCTAATGTTGTCTAAATTGCTTTCACCACTTAATACCATCCCATTATTATGTCAGGCTATATTTAGTTGCAAAACTACGTTACCTGAAAAGATTAACTAAATTAGATAACGGCTGTTGTTGTTTATTGCTTCCCACTTCTTATGTGCTTATAGCCTAACTGATAGGGATTGAAAAGGAATTTCTAAGTTGAAACTTTTCTCGTACTCCGGGTTTCAAAAATGTCCAAAAAGTAAAGTGATCACGCAAGGCGATGATATAATAACTACGAGAAATTAATGTACCTACAAATTACATTTGAATTTGAAAAGTCGAATGATATGTTCCGTTGCTTATAAATGCCACTTCCTAAAATTAGCAAGCGAACTACAAGCAATATTCGTAGCTAACAAGTTATTTTCGTACGGACGAGACCTAGCCCAGACTGTTGCGGTACCTTCTTAGCCTTAAGTAGGACTGAATAGGACGTGTCGAAAACGCTCATTTCTGCCGGCCAACATTTTCACCTTTGTAACGTCTAGAACAGTGCAACATGAACATACCAACCAGGAACCAAAGGGCTTTTCAACGACGTTGTAACATTTTGTTATGAGAAAACGAACAAAATCATAAACAAAAACAAAAATCACTCATGTACATATGTATTACAGAAAAATCGGCTATTTCAACCAATCTAATATTTCTTTTAGAAAATCTGGTTATCATTTACGCAGACCCAATAGGCCCTGTAAATGATATCCTAACCCTAAAAAAGATAACTTCTCTAGAGCTTTTCTGGTTTTTTTTAACTGTCCGTTTGCCTCACTTTTTAATTTTTCCCTCTTCCTGAGAAAGCCTTTTTGAAAGGTTGTACCGGCGCGCCGAACTCTTTCTAAATAGACTATGCAACCTTTACCCTCTTTAATTAAAATCTTCTTTATTTAGGCAGTTTGGTCTAATAGGCCACATCTTACCTCTATCTATACGGAGTATTCATTTTCGCTTCATTGCCTAGTACAGGTACGATGGTATCAGCTTCATCGAGCGATTTCTCGTTGAATTATTAGTGTTGTATTTAGAGATGGTGCCTGAAGGAGACCCATGAGACCGAGAATAGGTACGGTACCAACTGAACATGTAGTTAACAGCTGAATCGAATAAAAGACAAAGTTCTGAAGGATGGGACTGCGTCATTTTCGATTCGGGCTACTAGATTTAATTGGTTTGTTTTAAATAGCTTTTACCACCCCGTGAGCATAACCTTGAACTTACAGTTCTGAGGTAGAACATTTTTCTGGTAAGTTTCGTTAGAGAACCGAAGATTATGCGAAGGATTTCAGGCACTCATTAATAATCGAAGTATGTATCTTCGTTTTTCCCTCTACTAGTCTTATTAATGTTTAGCAAAGATGCTTTACATAATTAATATCTGGAACAACTATTGCCTTGAAAAAATGTGTAGTGGACAAACGATGCCAACAATTTTCAAGACAGTCTTAACAAACGCTCAGCTGCAAAGCTCTGTTAAATAGCATGCATACTTATGATTACCCCCGTGATATACTACTAACGCGCCACTTCAGTGTAGTTCATTACAGACGCCGTTTACTAGTCTCGAAGGAATGTCAAATAAGCTCATCACAGATGTCTGAACAAGACAAAAGGTTGTTTTTAGCAGTGATTTATGTAAAGTGTGACGATACTTTAACTGCGTAAATGGGTCGGAAAGGTCACATATTGTACTTGTCCAATAAGAACTTTTACGTTTTAGAATCAGGTGACAAAAGCACGCTTCATGGAAGAAGAACGCCCTTGCTATTGCTGATTGTATCAAGGGTTTTCGTGGGGCATTACCTTTCTGAACGTATGTATTGGTAAGGCAATACGCATACTATTTACAACACCGCTGTAAATCAGTCCTAATACGCAGGCAGGACACGCACCTTATTATGTCAAATATAAGGCTGCACTTACACTTACAACAATTTTAAGACATTCGAGACATCGACAACTTCAATCAGTATTCGGACGCTCCGTGCACACTTTGACACATGGCACTAGTACTGGCCTCCTTTGAACATGTTTTTTTTCTAATAAAAACAATACAAACGATACCTACTGTATAGTTTGCAGCCGTAGTCAGCGACCTCGTAAAATCGATTGCCTATCGAACCTGTTTGAGTCCGCCACAATGCCATTTTATTCCAAAGCGCATCTCCTGTTTCTGTATATGGTGCAGCGCATCTGCGCATACGAAACTCTAGCGGAAAGTTTAGCAGCAAAGGTTATACGGCAGACTGAACCTGATACTCGACATGCGGGCTGCAGTGCGTGTTATACTCGCAAAGAAAATGATTTTTCGTGAAGTATATTTGCCAAGTTTTCTGCTACCGCTGGCAACTAAATAGCGGTAGACCGTCGGTCGCAACGAGACGAGCGTACCCTCGTCCCGTCCTTTCAACCAGACCTAAGCATATATAGAAAATGTATTCAGATACCTACAAATTTCTATGTCTTCATTTCTGAAAAAAAAATTGGCTTTTCATATGCATGTGGTGGAAAAGACCGTAACGACGAGTAGCATCAAAACAGGTAAGCCATCTCGTCGAAAAGCCAATCTCTTTGAGATGCTGCTAATATGGAGATAGCATCTTCTAAGAACCCAAGATGTTTGTGGCCAAGTTCATTGGAGTCTTTGCAATTTTAACAGGTAACACACGTCGCGTAACATCATGCGGTTTGTATTCTGAACAAGATCTAAAGGTGTTTCAAAGCATCACCTTTCTTCCCCATGGCCGGCTATTAATCAAGAGGATCAATTAGAAGTATAATAATAAGTAAGCTATTCAAAATCATTTACCTAGTACGATGACGGGCGGTATCGAGATGAGGCAGGACATCGACCACACTCCGCAGACGTAACAGCAGATGCGCTTTGAGGTTCGTCGAACTCCGTACGTTAGCGGTCGTGTGATAGCAAGATAGCGGTCCACTGAGATCATACACAGATTGAGGATTGATGCCGTGCATGATGCCACGTCGAACGACACCTATAATTGATTCGAAATATGTATTTCTCATTTACGTATATTTATTAGTTCAGTCATATTAAGCTATCCGTCATATACCTCGATATATATTACATGGCAAAAAGAACCTTGCACGAAGTACATATACATTTAAGTTAAAACTATGCACAATGATGCGTCCGTTCTGACGCATTCTTCTACAGCTCAATCCCAGTGGCCCAGAAGTTTTGTCGGGATGGATTATCGAGTGTAGTAAACATAATCAAATCTACCGCCAGTACGGTCACGCTATGGTAGTGTCTGCGACAGAGCCGTATCAGATACGCATCTGATTAAAAAGTCCTAGAGCAAGCAGCAGCTGAATCGTTAAAAATTCATCTCCATCATCTTATAACAGTAACAAAAATGAATTTGTTGGGCGCATGACCTACGCTTATTCACACGTCTCTGAGAGCAAGTAAAATTCCTACTGTAGTTGTACTTAAAAGTACATATACGTATACAGTGGTAAAGGCTCAGCTGGTGTCTGAGAGTATGGAACAGAGACTTTTATGGGCGAGTATGTACAGAACACGTACATACTCGCCTATAAATATAGAAATAAACATTAGTCTACATATTGCACAGGCGTGTAAATGAGAACAGGTTGAGCATAAAATGTTTTCGTTCGGATATACAAAAGCAGAATAAATAAACGGAAGTGTTAATCATTTCTTTCCCGTAAAACTACCGAGTAACAAAAAACGCTGCAATATGGCATACCCTGGAACAACTCGATATGCGATGCGCGTGAGTAGCTAACAAATAGGTAATCTCTAGCAATTAGCCGAGGGAGCATCCTGGCAGAAAGCATGAAATCACCGATCGTTCGACGTTTCCGACAACAGTTTATCTCTATGAATAGGAAATTCGAGCTTCCCGTATAGTGCCCTATGTCAGAGTATACTTCAACGCGCACACAGGGGGTGACTAGATGGAGCAAGGAGTTCGTAAATGTAGCATCGTAGCAAGGACGGTAAGGTGCGGTTCGGCGAAGATTTACAGGGGACGAAAAGGGAAATGGAGTTCTAGAGTTAGGAACGCTGCCCAAAATAAACTGTGCTAAATGATGGGGCAACTCTGTAAAAAAGTATATGAGCGGCTGTCTGTTCTTGGATGACCATTAATGTGTAGATTTGAAATAGCAGCAGGAGAGAGCCTTCGAGGACCGTCTCGGTTTCTGTCTGCGTAGGTCTATGTATGTACAAATACACAGGCATGTGGTAAACTAATGCACGACAGTGTTAGCCGACGGCCAATCTTGTTTGCAGTGGCAGATTTATTTTTTTATATAACCTAGCAAACTATCTTCAGTTATTATATAAACGATATTATGCTTCGTATGTCGCCTTCGACTAACTATTATTTATTTAACCGATTGCTTTATTGAATCCGAATGATGAACATGGCGGTTAAAGGCTTATCAGGGCAAGAATGAACAGGTATCAAAAGCTTACACTCGATAACGAGAAACTACTTCCCCGATGCTATTGTTGTCGTACAATAATAAAGCTAATAGGCAAACAAATGTACGCTTCGAGCACCAACGTCGTTCGAAAAAAAAAATAATTAAAAATTAATAAGCAGATGTAAAACGCTAGAGATACCGAAAGATGAATCAGCCAGCAATTTAGGGCATCGTTTAGGGCATACTATACAGTGCGTCTCAAATATGTTCACGTTTCTAGAGCCGATTTGTACGCGTAAAATTCGTGTAGCAAGCCACGACTAGGTTTCAATATCGCGGTTAAGTCAAACGTACATTGCATCGGGTTTTTATATTGAGAACATTTCGGTCAAATGAAATTTTTTATATTTTTGTTGCTAGCTAAAAATGCCCTTAGAGCCTTCTTAACCAGCTTACTGAGTATTCTATAGAAGAATGGTAATACAAGAACAGCTCAGGATCTCTGCTTAGGCACCGTTTCGAGGGCAAGACACGTCACCTTGACTGGCCGCTGCCGGCCGGCTAGAGTCCTATTAGCTCGGCCGGCTGGGCGATGTCATTATACAGTGTAGTGTTCTGGGTTGGTTACAGGTAAGAACGCTTTGATCAAATTTCTGCGTCTCATCTGAACTGAAAGATTATCGGTAAGGGTTAATGACCAATTAAACGGCGGCTTGACGATTTTGTATTATAGGCATGATGTATGTGATATTATTACGATATGACAACAAGAAAATAAGAAATTTCGAGCGAAAATCAGTTCTCATGCGGTTAAGTTATCGATTTCACAGACAGTCACATTGCCATCGTATGTTACTAACGGATTACGATTAAAGCACATTAAGCCTGTTTGTCGTCTGCAAATATGGCACGTGTAGGAGGCGATATCGAAGCATGCGATATTGATTAGAAACGTGTTTGAATTTGGCGGGCGTACGCACACAACCCCATACGTACATAGTTCCTATACATATCATCTGTACAATGCAGCATAGGGATTGAGAAGCCGAGGGCTACACGCGTCAATATACGATTGCGTATTTTCAATGCTATACGGCTGATTCTGTTGTCCCATAACATATTCCTTTTTTCTCTATCCTTCCCGTCCTTCCGCAGTGTTCAAATCAGGCAGGTGCGTCTAGACCCTTGTTTTAATATATTCAGGTCTAATATTCATACAGAGCGTCTATATAGTAGTAGATAGAAAGCGTCATACAGAAGTAGCTTTCATTCGCTTAACGACATTAGATACAGTATCTCCGACGTCGCCGCCCTTACATTGCCCTCCGTGTGCAACCGTGTATAGCCACTTTAGCCACCACAACAACCGCTTTTAATGTTATTTGTGCAGTAATGAAATACAGTGATACCTTATCAACAGTGAAGTAGTTTGCATAGGCAATGTTTATGTCTGCTTTGTTTGTACGCTGACGCGTGGCACATAGCAGTACGTCACTCAACTATCTGTGATACTTCTATGATGGCTCCAACTGGGAGAACGGATGACGCGATGATCCTCATCAGCGTACGAAGCTAGGTAAACGGTTAGCGATTGCAGGACTGCAGCCACCTTGCAGACAACAACGTAATTCGCTAGAGACATATTTACGGGATGTAGCTATTACACATCTATTCGCGATCTGTCTATTGTGGAGGTAATGGCGTTCAGATCAGCTAGCCATAAATAGTGTCGACGATCATACTGCCAGACTCGAATAGATCACTCTATATATGTTTCATGGTTGAAAATACTATATATGGAACTACTATGAGGAACGAAATTTGTGTTTAAATCCTTCCATGCAACAAGCCATAGGTCAACGTACGTTCAAGATACGTAGCAATCGCGGAAACTACAAAGGCAAGATTTGCCATAGTTAAGCAAAAATGCAGGTCAGATGGCTCTAGAATAAAAATAAAATAATTAACTCTATTATCTAATCTTAATCATAGGTTGAATGAATAGTTCTCATCAGAGTCGACAGATGGTGCTAGCGTCGGATCAACTGACCGCTAAAACGTCTCTCTAGCGAATATCTCTGAAGATAGTTATTCTCACTACTGAGCATGTGCCGTGTTGTTGTTAGAAGCAATGGACCGGTGCATTTAGTCATGTAGTTTGCAAAGGCATATATTGGGCATTGTCTTATTTATTATTGTCGCGCTGAAAAAAGTGCTGCCGAGACAAAGAAAATGTCCGAAGGTGATTTTATCTCTTTAGAACTAACTATCTGAACATAAACGACAAGTCACGCTTCGAACGACCACGAACTGCAGGCACTTATTAAGCGGCTCCGTAGACCCGAGAGCTGTCTACGCTGCTAGGAGCGGTCCAGATGACTGTAATCGCTCGCATGAGCTAGGAACGATCAAAAAGGAAGAAAAGCGGATAAAGTGATAAAAAATGACATATTTGACAATATGCTATCGTATAACAGAAGAGTTTCTATAAAATGTTATTACTGATAATGAAAGACTGACCTTTTACGACACTCCACATAGACGCCACAAAAAATATACATGTTTAGAAGCTATACATTTGCATATCGTGCGATGAGAAAATACTGCTTTATTATAAGCTAGTTAAACCTTTGAAAATAATCCGAGGAGATTGCTATGCAAGTCAACTGATCCGTCTGAGTCACGGAACTGGTACAGAAAACTCTGAACTGGCAAAAAGCGGCGCAAAGTGATATCGCTATATCATGACGTTATATTGCGTACTGCTTTGATGACTCACCAAGTGCTAACGGATCTCCTATGGGAAACTCTACTCCACCTGGCGCATAGCCCGGACATAGCTTCATTTGGACATAACTTGTTTCTGTCAATACAGCAGAGCCAGAAGGAGAAACACTTCAAAAATGAGGCCGAAGTCCGCAAACGTGTCGACAAATAAGCCGCTTAAGAACGGCCCAATATATTCTTCGGGTTACATCAGCTAGCAGAAAGATTTTAAATAGTCTTAAGAATTGAAAGCACTGGTACAACTAAGGTGTGCCCACTTGTTCGAGAGTTGCAATAATTTAAAGTAACTAAAAAACAACGGGAACTTTTAATCAACCCAATATAGGAAAATCCGATTTCCCGTTTTTAGCGGACTTATATTTAAGCCATTCGACACGTAAGCATTTTACTATGTCAAGCCAATACCATTTTTAACATGCATCTATAAAGCATATTAGTTTCACTGGTGTAATTTTATCGATATCTTTTTATATACACAAGTGAAAAACAAAAATATTTATACGCCTATTTTTTTGTAGTTATTATCGTCTAGAAGGATCATGTCCTTGATTACTTACCCAAAGATCGCAAACAGTGGCGCCGAGGTACCACTTGCCGACAACATCGAAATACATCGCAAACGGCATCACCAGTAGGGCGACGCAGAGGTCCGATACGGCAAGCGATACAAGTAGGTAGTTTGATGGATGTCGGAGCCGACGAACGGATAGGACCGACACACACACAAGAATGTTCCCGATTGCCGTTAGCACGATAATGCACGTCAGAACTGCAGAGAAACAACCAACAAAGGATAAACTATTATTGGTTACTGTTGTTTTTTTTTTACTTACGCCTACGCGGAATTGGATTCTTACAAAAAATAATGAAAAGCTTTTGGAAAATTGAATTGCATTATGAGAGAACGAGAGTGAAATGTATCTTCGGGTCGGTGAACAGCTACCACGTTTGTGTCTGTTGAGATATTTGGAAATGTGTCCGGATACAAATATAATGGAGGACTAAATCTCTCATCGCCTACTCGGGTAAAGGACAGCAGAGTTCACAGATCTGTCCATCTTAATACAATGTTTACGCGCTATTGTCCCAGGCCTTATCTCTCTATACAGCAGCGCCTAGAAGGGCACTGCGTCCATATTACTGCGAATAGAACATAGGCATTAAAATTTTTTTTTTAAAACACACAAAAAAATATCAATAATATAGGCATAGCACCTTTACTCGAGTATCCATTAGGTGAGCCTACACCGAGTTTGTGTATAGTGTCCGACACCTAATCAAAATATACAGCGAGCAAAAACTAATATAGTCAAGCCCGTTATGGGTAATTGTTGACGGCCCTAGTCTTCATTCGTTACTCATTAAGGCTTAACTGGCGCATTTCCATGCCGAATGAGTCATAGTCGGCGTTAATCGACATAGGACAGCGACACCGATTCAGCTAATGAAAAAGCTGAAGACTACATAATTTGATCCATATATTATCGCCTCATTTTGATTATAACTTATTAAGCACTGCTGCCACGAAACGCATAGACGATTCTCATAGACTTGCATCTGTTGGGTACGACGCGAAATATAGCTTTTTTCACTACTTTCATTCGTTAATTTTTCTCTCGGGGAAAACTTATGCCACCTAACGTACATATGCTTTGAGAAATTACTCTGTATATACGATGCGTCTATATTAAAAAAAGTAAATAAAAAACTATAAAGATTATTTACAGTTTTAAGTTTAGTCTATAAAGGTCGACATCTAGGAGGTTTCTTATATGAGCAAGGCTGAAGTTTTGTGCGAGCTGTAATTCGTGTGCTCATATACCCACGAATATGACGATTTTTAGAAAAAAAGCTAACCTACGTCAAATAACAGATGGTTCAGTGACTTAAGTTTCTGTCGAAATCCACTTTACAATACTGGCTTTCCGTGCTACACAAATTGAAAACTTGCAGATTGTCTAGTATAATGCTATCAAGCACGAACGAACCTCGCGTGCTGAAAAAATTAGAGAATAAATGCCAAAACTATCGCTGACCCCATTCATTTCCACGGTAGTTTGATGGACTTTCTACATAGTAAATAAAAAATGGCATACGTCGTGTGGCAACGTCAGCCACAGGCGAGTGTGCGAACACGAGATAGGACAGACTTAGGTAAAACGCACAAGATTCATTTGCCACGCTTTGGATGGCGTCAATAAACATACTTAGGTTATTATGATTGATTGCCTGGTAACAATGTGCTCTTGACCTGATTTGTAAGTTCACTTTTGTTTTCAAGTTACAGGGACACTGTATTACGAGGTTACACCTCAGCTTTATCGTTTATGCGTGTACTTCATTGCTATTATACTACTAACGCCTCTTTGGCAGCCATTAGTTATTGGATTATGGGAAAAATATTATCGCTAATCTGGTCTTTTCAGTAGCAATAATAGGAAATAGACTGTGAAAAGCAATGAATCGCTAGTATATTGGATGCGTAATCTATAGACAAAGTAACTGAGGTACTCAAAGTAGCCTTATTCAAAATCTGTTAGGTTAGTTTAGAGATATTTTATTCAAGGGAAACGTTGGACTAGTCCATGAGTCTCATAGACAAGTTCGTCGAAGTAAGTTGATGGCTGAATTTCTCAACATTGATTGATCTATTGACTTTTCTGCCGTTTGAGAGAACGATTTGGTACCACTGCAATGTTCACAAGCGTTAGAAGGGCTGCCACGTTAGGCGGTAGCGACAGTCATCGTTTTCTGCACTATTGATTAACTATGATGTGTACAAAAAGGAGCTAATGAAGGACGCTTGATTTGATACGGTTAACGTCCTCTGATAAATCGAAATGGAGTCCCCAACTTAATCCACGTTGAATCAAGTTGGGGACCCCAAAACTACACATCTATGCAGATTCTCTCCGTAAAGCTAGTAGCTGAAGCCATTGAAATAAGTTACACTGTTATGCATTCAGCAGTCGAATAATGTATCCTCATTGTGTACGTTCTGCGAAATAGCCTAAAGAGCTTTCGCTCACGCCTAATGAATAATGAGCCATTGTCGTTTTCGTTGATTGCTTTCATCTTTCGACCTATGATTTGATAACTGGTAGATGTTGGCATTATTGGAAAGCTTTTTGTTTGCTGAATATGCTTACTGCCCTTGTGTTGATTGGACGGCGAAAATTTAAGTTTAACTTCAGGCTTCAAAGACGAGTGTTTAAAGTGAAACAAATGTGGCTAAATTTCTTATCTGACTTTGGTAAAAAAAAATTCTCAAAACGACGTAGAAAGGGCGTAGTGCACATGGTGCGGACTTCACAGTTGAGATTTATGCTCACAAGGGGCTTAATCGGAGTTAAAAGAAGCGTCTTCAATTTAAAAAAGCATTCCATTTGTTCTATTTTCAAGTTTGGCTAAAATTAGCTTGAGGTATCTTTGAAGAGAATGACTGTTAAATAAGTCCATATTTCTTGGCCTAAGGGTCCTCACTCTCTACTGAACAAGTGTTGTGGCCCGTACGCGAAGCTCTTAACCTCAGAATAATGTCAGTTTAGCAAAATTTGCTTCTTTTCATCGTCCGTCTTTGAAGCCCGAGATCAACAATTGTCAGTGATAACGTGCCTGTAAAGCAGAAGCGAAAAGAGAGCCTTCTAACGGTATATGGCACTTGTCTACCAGCAAATAAGACTATTTTCCCTATAATATATTACAAGTGAAAGTAGAATCCACCTACCGATGACTTTCCACGTTGGATTCTCCTTCTCGAGACTCTGCTCGAATGGATTTAGCGCACTGACTGGGTTCGGGTACTCGAGCGGCGAGAAATTGGCGAACAATAATCGCTTGAACTTTTCGCCGACGAGCGGATCGAGGACTGCACTTACGCCAGAGGCCAGTGTATCTTGCAGGCCTGGTATGGACGGTAGTGCTGCGAACGATGGGAGGGGTGACCCTTCTGGAACCTCGGGGGTCATCGAATTTCCGGCGGCTGCCGCAGCGGTCGCAGCAGCCGCGGCTACTGAAGCCATGTCGAAAATTTCCACTCCACCAGACGTTGCCGCTGTTGCCTCCATAGAACCAACAGCGCCACCAACGACTCCATCGATCCCACTCGAACCCATGCTGATCTACGAATCGAATGTTGTTGACTCGGGGGTCGCTTTGCGTCGTGACACAAAAAGAGCAGCGGATACAGATGTAACTGTCGATGGGTTGATGTTTACTCCCGTGCGCGCACAGTTCAATCGCTGCCGATTGTAAACAATCGTATCTGCAGTTCGTCGGTGCAGGGTTCTTGTTTTCGTTGGGATTGCTGCGACTGTTGACTCTTGGGATGACACTGCTGTCGTTATTGTGATCGTGATAGCAACGGTGATAGCACTCGACGGTGTGGCGGGACAAACTGAAGTCCTCACCGAAGCGACCATTAGCGATGGCTTCCGGCTTCGTCCAGCTTTCGGCTGGCGGCATTCCTACGACAACCTTCGCATGCCGACCACATCACCGATGATGAAGTGCTATAACAGCAACAAGCAAAGCGAGATAAGGAAACAGCTACTAGTTAAATTTAGGCAGGATGTATAGTTATGCTTAAATACATAGGCAATTCACGGCACTAATTTGCCGCTCCCCTAAATAGCATACCGTTTACTGAAAAAACCATGTGAGAACAACTCGTACTGGACCAGTTAGCCAGTACTGCAAATAGACGAATGATTAGGTGTAAGAGTGCTTGCGTAATGTGGCAGGTGACGACAAATCATTGCATCAGTCCCTTCTCGAGGACCAGCCCGTTCAGCCATTGACAAAGAGTATATAATACAGTTTCGTTGTATAGTGCATACTTACGAAGAGACATTGTGCTCAATATAAAATAATAAATGAAGACGCAATTCATCAACTTAGTGAAGGGCTCCACTAATTTTGGACAAGCCTAACACGAGCATTCACGCAATTATTGCTCGCTGGTCCACCCCATCGCGTCAGACAGTGGCCAATCGTTTGCCAAACAGAAAACGCAAGTAAAAACGCTCCTCTCGCTAAGCCGGTGCGTTTGCTCTATTTCGCATTGTCAAACCACAGGGGGCAAAGTCCACGAAAGAAGCGCTATTCTTCAAAGGACAAAGACTTTTCCCGTTCTCCATTCCTTCGGGACAGCGTACCCAAGTGCACCCAGTGTGCTTCTCTTTGTGTAAAGGGTTTTCAGCACATTCGATGCCATACATCATCTTTTTTCCTTTGAGATACTCGCATGATAGGCTATAATGAATGCTGCAAGAATCTAAAATACATTTAGATATTTGAAGTTACTCAATTCCGAATGTGTTATGTCCTTCTCTGCGCATCTATGTATGTGTAGTTTCGTGCGTATCAAGTTGCTTGCTTGCTTGCTTGCTTGCGTGCAGAGGGTCAGTTGAGGCCATGAGAGAAAAGGAATTCATCCGGCTTAGGCCTACTTTCAGAGCTTTCGTCAACACTGGTATGAAACAAACAGGCTCCCTTTCATTGGCAGTGCAACGCAGGTGAGAAAGGACTCACGAGGACAAGAGAACATTTTCCTTGTTGCGCTACCTCCGTTCTCTGCTTTTGCACCTTCTTGTTAGATCTTTCGCTCCTTCCGCAACGCTTGTTGCTTTTGTAATTTTTCGAAAACATAATAGAAAATTGTTAGGTCTTCTTACGGTGCGAACAGGGATTTCTTGCTTTTAGTTCACAGTTCATAGGCAGACATATGTTGGGGGTACTGGAAGCAGTTAAATTCGTTTCTACCATATTGGTGGCAGATTTAGCTGTAAGGTAAAGGTCACGCTATGTACCATCATTTGGTATTTTAAACTAAACATTTTTAATCGACAAATGGTCTTTGGCGTATGTCTACTACGAGAAGTTCTATATCTATATAAAGTGTTGAGATAATTTATTGTCAGTTAAAATGTGACCTTCTTTTTCAGTCATATTTTATATTATACATGATTATGTACAACCTAGTAGGCACTGTAGTGGAGGAAAGTCTACCCTATTGTGTGTATGGACTACTCAGCAAATCAACACAGCTGAAAATTAGTAACTTATCAGAGAGTTACAAGAAAGCTTCGAAGTTGTTTATTGCTTGAACATTCGTAAAACATCTAATTTTAGAGGCAAACGGACATGTTGGCCGATATTGTACGTGACGTTTATGAAGCTTTGCGATTTATGACGCAGTTGCTTACAAAGGATGTTTCGCAAGGAGTAACGATTGCGTCTACGATTTCCAGCGGTAAGATTCGAGGGCTACTGATCAGCGAAGAAAAAAGAACTATCGAATCTATCTGCTCCTGTCAAAAAGCAGCACCATTAATATCGTAGTAACAAACCGTATTAGTTACTTCGTTTTTCATCTTGACCTGACTAAAACCTTCTAGAATTAACAGCTGATCAAGTGACTAACAAGGGTTTGTTGCAGTCTTCAGTAAACGTTAGGCCTATACAGCTGATTAGGGTTTAAATGTCCTTTTACGAGATATACCTAAAATCGGTAAACATAGCACATAGGTTACAATAGAAGCCAGACTATTACCCCACTTAACGTAATTAAGAATTAAACTATATAGCACTAATACGAATACACTTGCGCCAGTTCTTACTTATTTTTTGAATGTTTTGATAATAAGGTATACTATATAGCTGAAAAAGTGCTCACAGAAGCCAGAAAAACATAGCTGCGCTGCATTAGCCGAGTGCTTTGTCCTGACCGTAATTACAGCTTAATGAGACTGGGGGGGGGGGGGGAAGGAATAACCTTCTGGAAGGTTAAAACCTTGCCCTCAGATGAAACCACTTTCGTTAGACCTTTCCGTTTCGAAAATTGCTCCTATTCGTCCTGCTTCCACAAATGATATCGCAGGGGACCCTTGATGTTTATTTTATTACCCGATAATTCCTTATGACCACGTCAAAGATTCAACCAGTCGTCGCGTATAAAGTATACCACTGAAGCTTGTGGTAGTCAAATCGCTCGGTATGGCAGCCACTCCCGTATACTATATCACAGTCAGTTGTATATATATCTAAGGGCTCTATGGTAAAATATAAATTAAATACTATGAGTCCCGTGTACTATTGCTGTCAAGACTACATAAAAACCAGTGCACTACTGTTGTTCTCGGCTGCATAATCCTATAGTGGACGGCCTTTTCTCTTCGTTTTCCCTGTGTGAATTCGATTCGTCCATCCAGGGTATAGAAAACTATCGATCGACTACACATATGCATTTATCCTGTTGCAATTACCCTGTTTCTCTTGACCTGATTGCTGATTTCTATAGTGAGTTATGTAGCCTCCTCCAATATGCTCCCCAGGAGCTTTAGCCAACTTTAAGTTTGTTTTGTTCGAGATGTGTAGGTTTTTAATAATTTCTACAATGTCCCTACGGAATTCTTACTGTCAGCCAACTGACTTTGTTTCTGGGACGTATATGACGAAGTCGGCCATCCGATCTTTGAGGGCAGCTATTAGATCCAATCGATCTTCAACCTACTTTTAACGGAGGTTGCAATTAGAGTCGGCTAATCTATCGACCCGATTCTTGGAACATGTTAAGAGTTTTTTTTTAATATTTTTTTTTCAAATGAGTAACGACATATTCTATTAAGGATGATGCAATACCTATTTAAAAATGGTTTGATATGTTTTCAATGATTGATCGATATTTCAATCCTTTTCTGTTAGTAAATAGTTATATATATTATGTAGAATGAAGATAAGCGTATTTGATATTTCTCGGTTGGCATACTGAGTTTGTTTCTGGAATATTACCTACTTGGAATTTTTTTTGTCATTTTTTATGTTTTGTCCACATTTTGAAAATTGAAGAAATCAGCTCTACATTTGTCACTTTAATTTTTTAATTGACATTTATTAGAAAATTGTTCGAAACGCCTTTTCATCTCACTGTTAAAATGTCAAACCGACACGATCAGTGGGCTGTGCACACTTCTACTTTAAATATCTATTTTAGTTAAAGGTAGATGTATTGCATTTTTTCAACTCGTCGAGATCTACTGACTGGCGTCTCTCACATAGAACTTACATCTTCTCTTACATAGAACACTAAGTTACGTTTTCACCTTTCAAACGGCATTGTCCACCTGAAAACTGAGATCTGTAACGCCGAAATATCAATTTTAGCTAAAGAAAGATACATTTAGTTTCACTCTGCTTGTTAAAATATATCGACTGGCTTGAGAGAGAAGGGAATAGAGAGGTAGGGAAAAAAATATTCGATATTTTGGTACATTCTCGATATTTCTGGTAAGAAGATCTTTATTATATTTTAAAACGAAATATGTAGCTAAAATGTTATCGTGTTAACCGCTACGATTTTCCAGTTTACACTTGAACAGTGTGCTTAAAAACACTCGAAACCCCACAGTCACGTGGGTGAGAGAAATCCTTCAATGAGCTTTTGACCGTCTTTACGCCTAAAAGTCTATTTTAGCTGTTGGGGCATGCTTGGAATTTTTTATTAAGGTCGGCAAGATCGATCCACGCAAACATTCAGCTAGCATTTGTCAGTAAAAAAAATTTCGACAAAACTTTAAAAAATAGCCTATTTCAACCTTCTCGTAGACAGCTATAAGAGATTCTTATGAAGAAAAAACGCCCGAGAAAGCCAAATATCACAATAAAACTAATTTGCTGAAACTAATTGCATAAAACTATAACACGCTATTTGCCAAAAATCAACTCCATCGGTCCATTTCAAGGGGTCGACTCGGATCGAATAAACAAACGGGCAAAACTTTGTTTAGGTAGATGGATTCATGCGTTTTGGGGTAACTCCCATAAGATTACTAAATAGAAAAAATAACTGTGAAAATAGCTGTGGCAGCATGTGCGAATTTGTCGGGACATGAGCCCATTCAAGCAAGCGATATATACTGTGTTTATATCGAAAAGAGTCTCTGTAGCTGTAAAATTACCGTGTAATAAATTATTTTCCATTTACTCTTACAGCCTATGAAGAGTTATTTGCTGCGCGAGGCCCAGACTAGGCATAATTGATACTTTCACAGTGCTATCTGTGACCGTTATAATCGATTTTGACTAAAGTGAGGCTACGTCTGCCACAGATTGGTTAATCCACGCTGTACACTAAAGCATGTGCAGGCCCCGAATCCCCCCATATATACGGCCCCGCGTCCTGCTTCTCGCTTAGCTTATCCAGCAATCGTCGAAAATGCGTACTTAGTTGCTTCAATTTTCATTTCTTACCTTCGACATGCTTATCATTTCTACACTCAACGATTGATGCCTCTTACCAGGGCTGGTCTCTGAGCAGCTCTATACATTGATAACTTTGTAGGTGACGTGTGGCTTTGGTCCTTTTAGTGTGCGAACTTAGCTAGGTGGAGCAGCTCGTGGAGTCCGTCGGTCGCATCTACAGAGGCATAAAGATGGCTAAAGTATAGGACAGTTCTAAACCATCTTGTTTTTCACGAGAAATAATCAATTTAGTTCAGTTCAACAAAGTAAA